AGGACATCATTATGTCTGAAAACCAAAGATGCTCTGTAGTAAGGTCATGAATAAATTGCTTGAGCTGAGGGTAGAGGAGAAGACCAGTAAAAGTACAAAGTTTCCTACTGCTGCTGGTATACTTATGAGGAGCACGTTGATTTGCACTGGAACACCATTAGGGAAATTAGTTTGTTCTGCCAGTTTGTGCTGCTGGATACCATATGTTTACCTTGAGGGAATGTTTGTGGAGTTATGTTGGGTTAATGGTAAATGTCACAATTAAATAAGTAAATATACAGAAGTGTATCTGTGACCTGCACTGGTGCACAGACACTGTACCGGCACACCGGTGTGCCACGTTCCATGTGTACATATAAATATGTGCTTTCATGTACTAAGTCCATACAGATCAGCTTATCAGGACACACAGACGTCGGGTACAAACAGCACCTGCATCGCTTTTCTCTCTGATCTGTTTACAGGTCCATACATACAGCTGTGCCCCGTGCCCTTTCCATTCTATCACTGTGAGCTGCGAGCGCTGAGCTCGCCCTGCTGCAGGTGGCAGTGCTAATTCACCTGGCACAGAGCAAGGCAAGGGGAAGAGCAGGTCAGATACCACATTAAACACCTCAGACCTTTCCAGTTTACCAGAAGTTGCAGTGTTGCCTTTTGCTGTTGCCAGCCCCCTTTAATAATCTGCGCAGATGCCGAGAGTTTGCAGCATCTCTGCAGATTAAACTTTAAGAACACTCAGCCCAACCTGTCGCAGAGGTCTTTATCATGCAAACTTGACGCCAAGTTCAATAGCAGTCCTGTTAGCCTTCTGCATTGCAGAGGCCTTGAAAAATTGATTTTCTGTTTTGCCTCTGACTTCAGTGGAACCAGCTTTTAGCCCTCCAAGGCAAATGTATTCCTGTAGATTGCAGCTACTTCTGAAATTCTTAATTTAATGTCCTTAAAGAGTCAAACTTTCAGAGGGGCCAGGCATGGCCGCGGGCTTTGCTGGGTGCTGTTGACCACTGCTGGATTATTAACTCTTCTTACAGTCTGAAATTCCATCCTTTTCCTTTTATAAAGCATTTCAAGGCTTTAAAGGCCCAATCCAAAATATACAGGAGTACATACAAGCCTTGTTATTGAGGAACAGAAAAGAATTTTAAAGATAATTGGCCATTGTTTGCAACAGGAGTGTATGTCTAATAGAAAGAAGCAATCTGATCCTTACTGGTAATGTTGTTAGGGCAACATTAATCCAGTGGAAACACTTTCTGAAGTGGCCAGGGCTTGTTAACACAGCCAACACCTAAGGCAGCAGTGTGTCTTTAAGCTCCACTAATATTGTACAATAATAATTTCTGAGGAAGAAAATCTTCACCTCTACCTGAACAGAAACAAGACATATTATTGACTGCCATCTGGAAAGATGTATGCTCTGGCCCTCGTGAGTCTATTAATATTTGATGCTGATGGATGTGAGCTGGCAGCTTGTGTTATTAATGGAGTTTGGTTCCTTGGACCTAACCCTCAATGCATAGGGGAGAATTAACAATAACAAGAATTGTATGCCCAAACCTCTCCTGATACCAGAAAAGTCTGTCATTTAGTTTCAGCATCAATTTGTTAATATTTCTGAAGTACTTAAAGCTATGGAAGGTCACAGAGGTGGCATTAGTTACATTATTGGTGCCATTCTTTTTGATTTAAAGCTGTCTTTTTAGGGTCCCTGGGACCACAGATCCCCACTTGTATCTTTGCCAGGTTAGGGTACCCCCATCAGATATGGATTTCCAACAGGAATGGCTCACTCCTGTTAACTTCTGAGCAATTGTGTGGAGGTAAGGGATACTCTGTCTTTGGTTGAGCTGAGATGCCATCCAGTGGGTTTGGATGCAAAGAAGAGGGCAGAAGTATGCTGCTTTACACAAAGAGGGGGGCATTTCCTAGAAATGGCCCTGATGCAGCACCCAGTAAAGGGAAATTTTTCCTCAAATTGAGTCTTATTTGGCCAGTGAAATCAGGAGGTAATATATTGTATATATATTGGAGATATATATACATATACATACATACATACATATATATATTTACATATCAGGGATATATTTTGATAAACTGGACGTGATAAGGAAAAATGCTGAAAGAAATGAAGTACTGTTGAAAGTCTGTGATGTCCATATGGATCATTCTGACTTGGAAAATAGAGATGTGAAATATCAAGTTATTTATAGCTGGATTTCTTAATATAGCTTTAACATTTTCAGGGGTATATGTTTGGTTGAATTAGCTTCTCCTTGCTATCATGTATACCACATCCAGACATTTCACTGCTCTCATTAACCTCCCAATCTTAGTAGAAAAAAAAGAATAATCAACTTAAGAAGCACAGCTGTTGTTTAATTTTACTAAATAGGATAGAAATATAAAGTACCATATTGCAAGATTGAAGATTCAGTGCACAACATTTAAAATCACTTTAATGGAATATATAACTCATTAACAGCTGGATAGACAGATACTGCAGCATTATTCACTTGGGCAGGTGGTGAGAGGGAGGTGGAATTTACATATCTTTAACGGTACCTGAATGCATTTAATTTCATAGGTCATTCTCCCAAATCAAGTTCAAAATGTTAATAACAGGGTGTGCATTTATAATTAATAAAATCTTAGAGCCAGTGCTATAGTTCAAGTGCATTTTCCTCTCATGTAATTAAGAAGTTAAGTATGTTTGGCAGTTGTCACTCAGACAGTTCTGAAGGTCTCACTTGTCGAGCCCAGAGACAGCAATCTCATTAAGCCAGTTATGTTGTCCGTTAAGGTTTGTTTGCAAGCTGAGGGCATATAAGGTGGACAGCCAGAATGACCAGCCTCAGGTAGTCCATAAAGTACAGTACATTAAAGTAGGTGCCAAAACTCAGATGTGTTTTGAGTTGGGAAGAAACATCCCGATGCTTATCTTGTATACGGAACCGTTCGTTCTGCATGGATGAATTATCTCACCTGTCTGAGTGTCCTCTGTGCAGAGTAAGCACACAGAAACAGGGGAATCTGCTGTGCCCATGGCTAGGGTGTACCTGCCTGCACCATGCTAGGACACCCACTGAACCCACTGGCCAGCTGGAAGCCCTGGTTCTGTGCCTCCCATGGCCCAGATCTGCAGTCGCAGTCAGTTTGGCTCCCAAGGGAATGTGTTCATTCCGCATCACTCTGAGCTGCTTTCCTTTTCAAAGACATTTTCTTTTACTCCTAGATCACTAGTTCAAATCCAGGTAAGGTCAGTTGTCATAGAAATTACAGCAGTGCCAGCAGTCCTGTGCTGTACATGAAATGAGTTGGGAGTTCCATTCGCACAAGATACAGCTTTCTAAGTGGCACTAATTGGCTGTCTAATTGTCACACATAGGAGAAAGGCTTAGGATTGATTAGGCGTGGAGGCTGAATGCCCCTCTGCCATCCCGCTCGCGCTGGGTTCCTGTAGCTCATTCTGTAGGCATGCTGGCAGGGTAATGAGGGGCAGCGTGCTTCAGATTTTCTGGCTGTCAAGACGGCACCTTTTACAGCCAGTCCTTTCCAGGGGAACTTGTTCTACTCCACCAAGGTCAAAGAGAGCGTCTTTTACAAACATTGCTTTCACTCAAAAATCAGGGCTGGTAGGATTTACTTCTGAGCAGTCCATATTTTAACCATTTCATTTTCTTCTCCCTAAACCGAAGTTTTTAGTATAAAATAGGAAGAGTCCTACTGGTGCCACACAGAGCTGCTGTAGCAAGCACATGGATTTGTGGTGCTCAGAAATCTGCTGCTATTTCCTGTTAACATCTCAGTGTCTGATGCTGTGATGTACGGGCTCCTGGAGGTACTTGCCATGGCATAGGGAAGCTGACATTTTGTGCATTTATCTCCTGATAAATGAATGTTCCTATCACACAGTGAAGCCTCTCACCTGCAAAAATACATTTTGACCAATATTTTTTCCCTTGAGCTATGATATAGGTCACACTCTGCAATGTAGTTACTATTTAACTTCGGAGCAGGGTAGCTCTCTCTGACATAGGACTAAATTATTACAGTTTAACTCACTGGAGAAATAAATATAGGAGCTCATTTGTGCTGTGGAAGCCGAGACTACAAACTGAAGAAAGTGGAGTAAAAATACCTTACATATGCTAACATTTGTTGTCCAGACGATGGGACTCAGTATATAGGGCTGAAAGGGTCCTATCACATTTTAACTCCCTTGTTCCATCAATGAATGACATTGGTAAAGAAATGTACCTCTGCTTTCAGCCACAGGAGGTAATCAGTACATACAGCGTGCCATAATTTACTGTTGACATTTTCGGTATTTCTGTAACACGTAAGTTTTTATCCTCCTTTTCCTCACTTGCCTCACACGTAAAGCGGAAATGGGACAGAGACTGATTTTATGTTCTGCTCTGCGTGCTTCCTCTCTCTGACATGTGCATCACACCTTGTTCAGCATTCTTCCCAGTGTCACCATCTCATGCAAATTAGCTGAAAACAGATGTAGGTACCAGCTATGCACCACAAAGGTCTCATCCACGTGCCGTGTAAGTTTTCCTCTCTGCCAGGCTGTGGAAGATGAGCACGCAGGAGATCCTTTAGCTTTTAAACAACCATGTTCTTAGAATATATTTTCCAGGAAATGCAGAACAATCTTTGCACGGTTTCAGACTGTATATTTTGTGATTAGTGTTTCATAAGTGATGTTTTGCCTAATGATCCAACATCTGTTCTAGGAGGTTTGTTTTTGTAACTTACACACCTCCTGCTGAATGAACGCCAGAAACTTGTCCCTTTCCTCCAAGTCAATCAAAGCACTAATTGCATCATAATCACGGGAAGCAGCAGTGACTGCAGAAAGTGCTGAAGATTCAGCAATCAACTCATAACACTCTGCTCACTGTTTCGAAAGAGAAAGCCTCCCTGTGCAGAGATGGGAATTTCCTGAATTCAGATTTCTTTAGCTGACTCTGTTTTTTTCTGGTTTGCAGGGAGATGACTGCACCATTACCTGCATGGCAGGAACCTATGGTACCAATTGCTCATCAGTTTGTAATTGCAGAAATGATGGTGCGTGTTCCCCCGTCGATGGTCTGTGCATTTGCAAAGAAGGTAAACAAAATTCACATTTAACAGTCGCCTACAATTTGGCATCAGTCCTTCTCTCCTTCTAACGTGGCACAGCTGTGCAGTCAGTGACTCCACTATTTATTTGTGCCTGTTGGTAATTCAGAGCCCTGCCCCAGGAACAAAACTCAACAAGGGCCTGACTGTATGTTTTGTCTCTGCCCTGAACGAGGGCCAGACTTAACCGCAGTGCTGCAGGAGCAGACCCCAGAATGAAGTGTGCCTGCAAGGACACAGCTCCTTTCTAAAGGAAATGTGAAGCAAACACCAAACAGGGGTTTTGCAGTGTGATTTTTTTGCAAAGGAACAGCCTCCTGCCTGTCCTTCCTTCAGCCCAGTGAACTGTCAGTGGGGTGCACCTGGCTGGTTGCCATCCTCTGGTCATGGTGACGGCTCACCCATGTGCAAGTGACCTCTGCCCAGAGGGGCTGAGGATATGGCTGACCTTTGTCTGGAGAAACAAGAAGTCTTATCTGTTCTGGGGATGGCAAGAATCACCAATTTTTGTAACACATATATGTCCATAATTCCTATACGTGCTTGGTAGTGACCCATGTTTCCACTTAGGAGATCTTGCACACTCCAGAACGTGGTATCTCTGATGTTCCATGTGCAGTGGTGCCTTCCCCCAGCACACCAACATGAACTATCCTGTATAGCCCTAAAACAGAAGTGAGGCAAACAGCAGTAAAATCTGGCATTTCAACCATGAATTAATGAATCACTGTAGAACCCCATTTAATGAGGGTGTATAAACCATGAGTTACTGCTCAACTCCATTACATGCAGCTGCAGTGTAATGAAAGCCATTGTGGGGTTGGTCGTTAAGACTTGAGCCTTAATGGTTAGAAATGATGGTCTTGTCTTTTTGTGTGTGTGTGTGTGTGTGTGTGAGTGAGTGTAATAGCCTCTTTATATTAAAGAGCCTTCTCAAAAAAATATGAGGTAAGAAACAAACAGCATTGAATGGCAAGTGTCTTGCATTCAGCAAGTCTCCAGCAGACGTTGCTGTGTTCTCTTGCTGCCTGAGCAGTTCCTGAAGAGATATCAGACACAACAACCTGGCAAACAGCCACACAGAGATATCTGCACTGCCCTTCTCCACCTATGGATGTTGGCAGAGGAAGATGGGAGGTCATAATCAAAGGACCAATCTTTGACCCCATGGTTGGTGTCTTAATTTACACTAAGATCAGGAGGAAACCAGCCCTAGAATCAAAGAGCTGCAGTTCACAAGGTGCCTTTCTTGTCTCTTTTTTTCTGTGCTGTGCAGGAAAAAGGCACTAGATCTGCTTGGAAAACATGCATGACACACCTTTGCAGGCAGTTTTAAATCTTGTTATGTAAAGAAATATTACTTTTTCTGTGCAAACATGCTGAAATCTTTCTCTCTCTGAACTTTCTGTAGGATGGCAAGGAGTGGATTGCTCTATTCCATGTTCAAGTGGAAGTTGGGGTTTTAACTGTAACCAGACGTGTTACTGCACAAATGGAGCAGCCTGCAGGCCAGCTGATGGCTTCTGTCTGTGCTCCCCTGGCTGGCAGGGGGACTACTGTGACCAGCCGTGCCCTGTAAGTGTAACCAGGGTGGTCTCCCATCCCCTTTTAAATCATAGTCCACATAGCTCATCTAATCACACAGACTGAGCATCTCATTTTGTCTGTGGATATCTGTAGGAAATCATGTATAAATGACAGATTGTGGTTTGAGCAATCGAGTCGATGTATTTTACCTTTTGCACTATATTTTATCAGAGCTATTGCAGCGTTATCTGCATTTTCTGGAACATCATTTTTTAAAGTGATTCCTCATTTGGTTCTATATAGAAATTTTAGGCACTGAGTTGTTTCTATTTTCTCTGTATGTTAATTTAAAAAATGCGACTCAGCATTAAGAGGGACATGATAGATGATTTTGCACATTTTACAGCAAAAAAACTGATTACTGAGAGACTTTTTTTTATTTATATTTTTGGAAGGATGGAACATATGGTCTTAATTGCAGTGAACGTTGTGACTGCAACCACGCAGATGGGTGCGATCCCGTCACCGGTTACTGCTGCTGCCTTGCTGGCTGGACAGGTAAAACGAGCAACTCTATAAAACTTGGGATTATTTCTGTATGTTTGTTTCTTTGTTTATTGCTAATGCATCAGTCATAGCGCTGAATTTCTGACTGCAAACTCTTAGGTAATAGACTGAGACAAGCTCAGCTGAATTTACCCACATTTAAATCACTCGTGATGGTGACAAAAATTGGCATTTATTAAATTTGTATTCAAATTAGTTGAAGATGGCTCCAAACCTGGAGCCAGATGTTAGCCTTCTGTAACGAGAATGCTCGGGAGGGATGCAGATTGTATGGAAATCCTGCAGTGTTTTTCTCCTTGAATGACCTTTTCCACAGGGGTTTTGATGCCATATTGAATCCTGTGGCCGTTGTACCCGAGATGCAGATAGGTGCCGTCTGGATGCTGAGAATCAGTGCAGCTGCTCCATCATACAAACCACTTTTGTCACAAACTGTTGTCTTTGTGCCCTTTTCCCATGCTTCCTGTAGCACAGAATGGTAGCGATGGAGAGCAGATTAATGCTGGTTTGATAAAGAATTCTCTTGATTACACAGAGGCAGAGAGAAATCTTGAGTGAAGTCTGAAAGTCCAGGTTGGAGAGCTCAGTACAAACAGCCCTGCACTTGACTCCATCCTGATGTCTCTTTGCTAGCTTTTGACAGCTGACATAAACAGCAGTGGGGGACAAGTTATTGATCCAACCAATATTTCACACTTAGCTGCCTAAAATACGAGTTAATCTCCCCCTAGCTCTCTGGAGAGTCCCTAGAGGGAAATAAGCTTATATTCTTGCCTATATCTGCAGAGCCACCAGCAGCACTGCTAGTCAAAAATGCATTGGTATTAACAGCATTCATTTGGAAAATTTAATTGTTTTTCAAACAAAAGCAAGTTGGAAGAATGTATGGAGCAAGGCAGGCTCAGGCAGCCAGCAGCAGGGATGCTGTTACTTCACACCTTCAGTTATGCCTTAGACTAATTCACGTCCTCCATTTCTGATGAACAGAGCATCACTCACTGTACAGCCCAGCTCTTAGAAGCATGAGGCAAAAGGAATAAAATTAAGCTTTTACTTTACAATGAAAAACATCCTTTTAGAATTAAATAAAATGCAAAAATGTGAATTTGTTTTACAACAGAGTTACTTTTCAAAGATGATGAACATGCATCCCTGGAAAGGGCTTTCTGCCCACTAGAAAATCCGTTCTGTAAGCTCACTACAGCCCACCCCAGCTTGTGTTCTTCACTCATGGACTGCATTCATCATTCTTTGAGCCTCTTTGCCATCACATCCATCTGTCAGGCTTTAAAACTGTACTGTGCTTTATTTATAACCATCAGAAAAACAGTTGATAGGTTTTCCTGTAGTCACTGTGAGTTTCTTAGAGGGGCAAAATGGTTTTTAAAAGTACAGAAAATTAATATACGTTTATTTATTTAGTGTAAGGGTTTATTGCACTCCTTTATGTATGTAGCATTTCAGAGGAAAGTGCAGAAAATACACTTTGCAGACTGAAGTTGTGGCTTCTTCTCAAGGCATTTGGAACATACACTCCACACTCACAGCACATGCGTATCTGTAATTGTACATCAAGTGCAGTTACAAATTACTCCAACTAAAGGTAAGAATGATTTCTGTGACGTGTCCCTCTTTTAGTTTCTATATTGGGTGAGGTGACTGTGTATTAACTCGCTGGCCACTTGCTGCAAATGAAATGCTTTAACCTTCAGTGTGTCCCTGCAGTTCTGGAGCTCCCTTCTTCAGCATCACGTTTGTGTGAGGAAAATATTACATTAGCATTTGAGACCAGGTTGGAGCTGAGATGTTGACAGGACCATGTAAGGTGTGCACTGGAAATGCTGATAGACAGACAGAGCCAACATGTGTTTTGTCAATTCTGCATTCAATGTTTTTTCCACTTGGCTTAGCACGAGACACAAGGATAAATTCTGCTCGTGCTACTTTGAAAGTATGTAATTTCAGAAACTCTTCAGCTAGATAATTATATTTTCATATTAAGGAGTGTGGCATTGGTAAAAGATTAATCTTATTTCTAGTTGTTGTGAACTGGCCCGTGATGTGTTTTTGCAGTATATTTTATAAATATGATGTGATAAATAATTCAGGCTTAAATTTGTGCTTTCGGAGTTTGGTGCTAATTAGGCATGGCCTGAAAAAGATCAGAAAAGTTCAGCATCATGGAACATCTGAAGGTTTTCCTACCCACTCACACCAGACAGAGAATTCACATGGCTTTCTGATCCTAATAGCCACAAAACTTCATCTGAAACAGCATATTCTGTATGTTCATCCCACATGTGGGACTCCCTGCCTTGATGTCAGTGTTCTGCGTGTAGATCAAGGAGAAGATTGAGCCCATTTTCTTTAAAGTAGTTTTCAAGATGTTACTGGTATAAACCTTGGGAGACTGATAGATGGTTGGAGCATGGAGGAAGGCTGGAAAAAGAAGAAAAAAAAGGAATAAAAAGAGTAACATACAATATAAATTAATAGCAGTCTACCACCCTTGTCTGCTGTTACGACTGCCACTCATCCAGAGTCTATTATTCAGGCATTGCTTTCCCATTCTTCTGTGTTTTAACAGCCCAGAAAAGCTAGTTTGGGGAGCAAAGAATACCTGGCAGAGTGGAAGATGATGAAGAGATTGCCATGTCCCATCCAGGATGTTACAAAGCTGTGCAGATCAGCTCAGCACCAAAATAAGCACACTGGCAGTAAGCTGATTAGACGTGCATGTGGATTTGCCATTCAGTTCAGTGGGGAATTAATTGCACATGCACATCTGAAGGCAGAAGTTAGACTCTGAGATGGATCAGACCTGAAGCTGGTTGCATCCTGTCAGTACGGCTGAAAACACCCAGGCAGGCACACAGGCACACTGTGACACAGAGAGCCTTGTAGATAGCATGGGAAGTATAGCACCTGTACTAACAGCACCAAAACCACACACATGGGAAGACACTCTTGTGTGGTGCAAGTGAAGTGAAACTTGTTCAAGTGTTGGCCAAATTCAGATCTGCAGCTGCTGGTACAGTGCAGAGCTGACTTTTACTGCCCATGAAGAGGATGTCAAATGCAAATAAAAATAAGGCTGTAGCCTTGCAGTGAGGGAGATTTCCAGCTTTCACATGCTTAACATAGTGAATATAAATACTTCCCTTGAAATCAAAAGAAGATTTGTACATGTCTATCACTAGGTTAAAGAGGAGAAGTGTAGCCCCCAGCAGGATCAAGTCTTGACTGATGAGAGTGATTGCTCTCTAAAGATTAATAAGGGTCTCTGCACTCCAGATCTGCCATGCATTTTAGATAGATACTCCTTTTGTGCTTGCAGCTGTATGTGTGCACACATACCTTAAAGCTACCAGTCATTTGCAGGAGAGGTGCTATTTTGTGTACATTCAGGTTAAAATGAAGATGCTTGAAAGCGGAGTGCTTCAGTGCTAATTGCATTTGGTTAATGAGAGATCTCTCACACTCTGAATCCTCGGAGAGAGTGCAAGTGCAGGAAAGCTGCATGGCAGAGCATTTCCTGGGAGTCCTTTGGAAGCAAACAGGTAGCAGAGAGGCAGGCGTGAGTCTGGTCACAATACTTTCCAGAGTGCTCAGTAGCAGCAGTGGGGTTGTAAATCTCAACCAGGCTCCTCTTACTTAAACAACTGGTGGCTGCCAGTTGCTTGATCATAGGATCATAGAATCACAGCATGGTTGGGTTGGAAGGGACCCCTCACCCCCCAGCTCAGGCTGCCCAGGGCCCATCCATGGCCTCAGGCACCACAGGGATGGGGCACCCACAGCTCTGGGCAGCAGTGCCAGCACCTCACCACCTCTGAGTGAAGACTTTCCCATAACATCTGATCTGATCCTTACCACAAATGGCATTCTGATGGATTCCAAAACCAATTCACACTGTGTAGCCTTGTGCTGGTTCATGCAGTACCACCTCCCATGACTCAATCCATCAGACATCACAGAAGGGAAAGCCTCAGACCTGGCTAATGCTCACAGCAAGCTCATTTCTTCCCTGAAACAAGTCGATGTGCTTCAAGTTAATTGTGGCAGCATGTGTTTTGTTAACCTTTGAGATATTACAGTGGGATTAAGTCGGAAGCAGTCTGCAGGGGGATATGTTCTGCTCCCGTAAATGTTGGGGTCACTTAAAATCCTGTTTATCTCAATTCCTTTAATCTGTGATGCTGTCTTATCTGAGCCTGGGTTGTGTCTTTCCTGTTTCGTATCGCTGTCTGGTTTCTATAGAGAGCTGTCATCCTGATGCTATCTCAGTTATCCCACTGAACTGCTGAGCTGATGCTTTTCTGATCACCCAACACCTGAGTTTATTCAGGAGGGGTCAGCATCCCCAGAATGCACGGGGAAACGTGGTGGTGGTGTAGATGTGGGATGGAAGGTAAAGGAGCGTGCATCCCATTGTAGATTATAAAGGAACTCCTCATTGATTTCCCTTAATTAATCGGGATGGTATGAACATTAAATGTGGTGGCAGAGGAAGATCCATTGTGTTATCATGTGGGTATTTTCCCCTTCAGGCTTCCTTCTTGTCTCCTAAGAGCAGCTGCAACGTACACAAAAGGGGAATATATCTTTTGCTGTCCTTTACATCTTCAATAACCTCCATACTTTGCCAACATAAACCCTAATTGTCTGTTATCGTGTCCAGGAGCACTGCACAGTGGCTGTGGTAGGCTCAGGTTGTAGGGATTTGCACCTGCGATTGTATGAGGGGGCTTATGGGGTCAGGAACGTCAGCTGGTCACAGATAAGGGGAGCTCTGAGGAATGAGCCTCTGCATTTGCAGGCTGCAAGTGACATCTGCGCTGTCACTCAAACACAGAAACATGTTTCTTCCCTCCTGTGGACGCATTAATTCAGTAAAACTGATAAGGCTTTACTCAAGGGAAGGCCTTTTTGAATTTTAAAGAAACAGTGACCACTTTGACGGTGAGCTCTAAGGTATTTTTAACTTCACT